CAGACGAAGTTTCAAGTCGGTAAACTCCGGGTTTAATGATTTGAACGATTTTATACTGACCTTCCCAGTTGGCTCCAAGTTTGCCGGTGTTCAGTTCTTTTTTGTTTTCGAAGACTTTGCGCAAGACGAGGTCATCCAATTCGAGGGGCCGCGAACGGACCTTTTTGCTGTAATAGATCTCTATCTAATGCTGGTAGTTTTGTATTCGGAGCAAGGCCTGATCTCGTCTTTCCTCTATTGCATCGAGGGCGTCGAGCAGCATTTCTTGATTGAGTTCGTCATGCTGGGGCATCTTGCTGCGACGTAAGCTGGCAACATTGACTTCAGTGGGGACCATCTCTTCGACTCCGTATGCCAGAGAGAAGGGAGTGGTTTTAGTTGCTCCTCGAGGCGTTGTTTGGTGCGACCATAACACTCCGTCTAACTTGTCGGGGCAGCATCCTTTCTTTAGGTCGAGTCTCTTTTTGATGCCGTCGATGATCGCCTTGTTGGATGACCCTGCCTGACCGTTACTCTGCGGGTAACGCGAAGTTGAAGTATTTAGGCGGATTCGCCATTTCTCACAGAATGTGCGGAAGTGCTGTGAGATGAACTGAGTGTTATGGTATTTTTGTGTAGGATCGTTTTAGTACTACGGAACACAAGAAGGTTTGTAAGAGGTCAGGAGAAATCAAAGAGAAACAGGTAGAGAAGGAGACGTATTATTGAATATTTTGAAGGGGAATACAATGTTTGGTGTATGAACCCTAATTCTAGCCGCCTAGATCTAGTCTCTCAATCTCTAAAATGTCGATCCCTTATTCTAGGGTTTGGGTTCCCCTTTTATAAGTGTAGATGTCGGCTCGCATGAGGTTAAACCCTTCCATATTGGTGAATATGGAAGAATTCCCTTAAGTGGAGAACTTCCATTTTATCCATTGGTCGGTTTTGTAGCAGGGGTCGGGCCCGGGGAACCTGGATGCAGGGTCCGGGCTCTGGGTCCCTTCAGAGCAGGGGTTTAGAGGCCGGTGTCCAGCCCGCACGCTGGAGCAATCTGGTGCCTGGATATTTTTTCCCAACAGTTTGCCCCTTATTCCTTGATTTCATCAATAGAATCAAGGGATAAAGTGTGTCTAGGTGGACCATCGTCGCTTTATCTCAGCAGATTCCCCATAAGTAAGGCATCGCTCTAGGCGCCCTGTCGTCCAGGTCATTGTCAGGTCGGAAACGTGTTTGGCGCCTGGAGTAAGTCGTTTTCCCCTTGGTAAAAATGGCGTTCAGTAGATATCTTCAGGGCCTGAGTCTCTTAGAGTTGATTATGCGGAGTTGTGATCTGGTATATAACTTTCGGTCTGCGACAAATTTCCTTATATTCTGCTGCAGGTAATTTTCCCGAGATGACTGATTTGGTCAGATCTTCTTTCCTTTCTTGAACTCGCTTCCATATCATACCTATTCTTCCGAATCCCTAGGAGGCGGGATTCATTATTTTGAATTTTGAAAGCTGGATCTTATCTTTTGCTTGAGATTCGGGGGTGGCTGCTTCTTTCAAAAGACAATAACCATGATGTGTTTAAATACCCATCCATTTTTCTAGACAAAACCATTGCGAGACCTTGTCATTTTCTTCCAACTAATCGTCTTGATCCGAGGATTTTCTTCTTCTTCTTCTTCTTCTTCTTTCGTAGAACTCAAATACTATACACAAAACCCTTAACTCTAAACCTAACCCTATACTCCTAGATTAACCTTATACCCCAACTTTAAACCTAACACCTCTAACATTTTCAAAGTCAAACTTCAAATCTTAAACATACAATTTACAAATTTATATTTTATAAATTTAATCTCAATATTAAACATTTATGAAAATATTTAGAATCATTTATTGATATATGTATTTAAAGTTTTTAAAATAATACTAATATATTTCGTTAATAATACTGTCAAAAATTAGATAGTATAAGATTAACAGTGACAAAATATTAAGTTCCCTTCATAATATTGGCTCCATAATGCTTTTTCTCTAATCTTAAAAAATAAGAAATTTTTTATCGGTCAATTCATGGTTAGCTATTTCTACCATTGATTTCTTTGATCCAATGATCCAATGGCCCAGACAAAATCATGTGTGTAAGATAGATCAGTTTTCTTAATAAATTGTCACATCAAAAAATTAACTTTATTATATGATTAACTAGGGTCGGCCCGCTCTACGGATGGGATATACTTGTGATTTAGATTACTATTTTTATATGATTTCATGGTTTGAATCTTAGATTTTCATTTGCAAAAGATGTATATAATAATGATTTTTATCTTTTCGAAAGGTTTGGGTAAAGAAAAATCTTGTATGGTTAAATATATTTTACTTGTATATAATAGTTTCTTTTGTATTGAAAAGTTATGGTATTAGTATGTTGTGAGAGTTTCAAATGACTTTTATATTGTTTCTTATAAAAAAAAAAAATTGATCAAATATTAGATGTCAAAATAGTTTTTTTCTTTCTAATATTAATTCTCAATATATATTAAATAAAAACTTTCTTAATAACTTTTAGAGTATCGGTCTGAATTGAATGGTTTTAGAACATGTTAAACTCTTTGTTACAAATGAAATAAAAAGCAAAAAAAAAAACTTGATCATATGTTGAAAAGAATCCTGAACAGTTATCTGTCATGGAATTTCTGTGTATAACCTAGTAAATTATAAATTTTTCATTTTTAGAAAAATAATCTTTTAACTTTTCTATACTATCTCCAAGCATTCCACTTTTGATTGTAGTAATGGTTAACCTCAAATGATAACCGAGATATATAACTATGTTATGTATCAAAAAAAAACTTCTTCACATAATCGGTTGAACAAATTCGCAACCTCAGCATCGCTCCGTAAGCAATGTTCAATAATACCACAATAGTGTAAATAGTGCACATCTTCATGAGAATCAATTATATTGTCTGTGAAGATTATCTAGGATGTTATGTCATTGCCCGAGTCAATATGTACAACAAAATCAATAATGCAGCAGAAAAAAAAAGATTAACCAAAATAGAATCATTGACATAAGTGATATAATACCTCTTACAATCTAGAAAAAATATTTCTATTTGACAGAACATAGTTTCCACGAAATGTGTATAAATATACTCTAACAAAATCTATATTATAATAGTAGAGTTTCTAGGCTCCACAACGTGCCACGTCAGCAGTTTTGTGGGGCCCGTAGGTATTTTTTATAAACCTATAGACTTGGTAAGATGATTATGAACAATGAAATACACTTTAGCCAAGTGGTATATGTAAAAAAACAACAAAATTTAATTATTTTTTGTTATTTATTAAATGAATATGTAATTTCTCTTACATTTTAATAACTACTATAATTTCATTGAAAACATTCCTCACCATTAACTCCTGACTCCGGCGAATGGATTCCCATAGTCGATGACACCGTAGATAAAAATACCACATCATTTATGAATAAAACCCAAACTTACAAAAAACCATATATAAAAAATTATCTAATGAAACTTAAACAACGAATATTAACTTAATTAAGGTTATTTTCAAATTGATAAATCGTTTAATACAAATATAAATACTATAAATATAGAATTATATCAAGTTTTGACCTACAATATAAAAAATTATTTACAGCAAAAAAAAACACCTACGTTTACACACTAAAAACTATATTATAGTCTAACTATTACTATAAACCTTATTTCGTATATAAATAACATTTAACACATTCCTAATATATTTTCAAAAAAATTGTATGTGAAATAAAATAAAATAAAAAACAAATATTAAGTATTTTTTGTTATTTATTAAATGAATATGTAATTTCTCTTACATTTTAATAACTACTATAATTTCATTGAAAACATTCGTCACCATTAACTCCTGACTCCGGCGAATGGATTCCCATAGTCGATGACGCCGTAGATAAAAATGCCACATCATTTATGAATAAAACCCAAACTTACAAAAAACCATATATAAAAAACTATCTAATGAAACTTAAACAACGAATATTAACTTAATTAAGGTTATTTTCAAATTGATAAATCGTTTAATACAAATATAAATACTATAAATATAGAATTATATCAAGTTTGACCTACGATATAAAAACTATTACAGCAAAAAAATAAAAAATAGACACCTACTTTTACACACTAAAAACTATATTATAGCCTAACTATTCTTATAAACCTTAGTTCACATATAAATAACATTTAACACATTATATATACAATATTTTCACTTTACATTCTTACTACATTCTTTCAATTTCATTATTATTTGGTGTTATTAGAAGAATCTACTAAACCAAAAATCGAAAAAATATTGCAAACACAATGATCCCAGCCCCGCGCTTGCGCGGGGAGTATGCAACTAGTATTCTTTAACAGTTGAACTTTCTTCTCTTTTTCATGATGCCGGATCTAAAATCTATTATATGCATTGTGGCTAGCTCGGTAGCTCTTCAGAAGGAGGTGAAAAAAAATCTCCAAAATCAAAATCGGGTGCATTACTCTGGTTTGGATCTAAAGCTTTTTGTAGCCATGTATATGTTGCAGTAGTAGCAGAAGAATTTTAATCTCCAAATGGTGCAAAAGTGTAACCTTCTGGAACCATGAGCCTGTTGTCTCCCTTAACTTTTATTGCTTCTAAAGATTTCTTAAAAACTAAATATTATGCAAGAAAATCAATAGGTGAAAGGGAAAAGGTAAGAGCAAACCTAAAAGCTCTTGGTTCTTCTGATTTCCTCGGTTTCTACAATAGTTTCTTCTTTGCTTTCAGCTGACCCAATTGCTTAACCAGAATCTATGTTGCTTCCTGCTGAATTCAAAATTCAATTAATATCCATAACTTAATATAGTCAAATTGCATAAGAGATCATATTGGATAGAAGATATGACCTTGCTCTTTGATAATTTGATAATGTCAAGGGATCAATAAACGAAGTCTAAGCAGATCCTTAAAAAACCACCAGGCTAGAGACTCAAACATGGCCACTCATTCTTCTCCTCTACCTCCCAGGCCACAAAAACCATCCACAAGAAAACCTACTGAAATGCCTTTTTCCTCTTTCCGACCAAAGCCAAAACGCAAATCCTCATGTCGCACCTGCTGTTGTTGCCTTTGCATCACCCTTGTCTTCCTAGTCGCAACCGCCGTTTTCTACCACTGGTTCGACCCAAATCTCCCAACTTTCAGCCTTTTCTCTTTCCGCTTCGACAGGTTCAAACTCTCTAACGATCTCGACGGCGCGTCTCTCTGCCATGGCCATGGCCGTGGCCCGCGTGGAGATGAGGAACCCAAACACCAAACTCGTTTTCTTCTACGGAAACACCACCGTGGAAATGAGCGTCGGCAACGGAAACTGAAGAATCGGAAAAATCACGGTTGGAGGAACGGCGAGGACTCTACTTTTCGTTGCTGAAGATTAAGGTTAAGGCTGGTGTTTAGCGGACCAACTATCAATTGAAGCCCAATCAGAAAAAAATGAAAGAGTCCATAACGAAACGCATAAACAAAATTGTTGACATGGACATATTGACGTGGTATCCTATATGGACACCTTAAAGAGGAAGGAAACACAGAATTATATAATAGGTTCTCTTAATCTTTCCTTAGTATAGTTATTCATCTAATTCAGCCAACTAAAAACAATAATTATGATTATGCTTTTGTAAGCACTACTAATAACCACTTTCTTAGTATACGTAACTAAGTGACTGTAGTGCATTAATTTTGTCTACTTGATCGAGTTTTATGATCATTTTCACTCTTTAGAGATGTATTATAAAAGCCAAAATTAATTCTATATATAGATTTCAAAATCCCCTATATATTAATTCTGGAGTATTATTACATGTTTTTGTATCAACGTATCATCACCAAGACAATTCTCAGAGTCTTTAGAAAAATAAGTTGTCCATATAACTATATATTATACTTTTTATTAAACTAACTATCAAATTAATTATAAGTGTAAAAAATATATTATTTCTTTTCTTAAATAAAACTTACGGGATTACCTAATATAATTAACATATATATGTCAATTAACGATTATGAATAATACATATTTGATAATAATTTTTGCATCCTTTCTCTTTTTTGTTTATTTTTTTATTAAAATAATAAAAAATCACATTAAACATATAATATAAAAACATAGATTTTTTCTTATATGTTATATTTAGAAATTTTTGAAACAATTATAAATTATTAAAAGTGGTAAAAGTCCCACATTAAAAAAGTTTGATCAATGGTTTAACTTTTTTTTGTTCAAGTAAGATACAAATGATTATAAATCGTATGAATCCAAAATCTCATTAATAAATATTTATATTATATATAAATAAATAAATATATATATATATATATATATATATATATCAATATCATTTAAATTACATTATAGATACTATATAAAATATATAAATATGTTAATTTCAAAATTCTTCAAATCGAAGTGATTTTTCATATTGGAAGCACTACATATATATACATATTATTTCATTCAAATAATTTAGTCGTGATATTTATTCCTAAAAATATTTTAGTGGAATTTAATGACAAGATTTTTTTTTTGTCGGCCTCATCTTAATTAGATCAAGTTGTGGCCAGACGAGTCGATTCTTCGAGCAGGAACTATGTCTAACCGAGTCAGATCTATATGGGAAAAATTATAGCCTTTGGTCCTTGCCTCTTTTGCTAGTACGTCCGCTCGACCATTCCTACTCTGAGGAATATGAGACATGTTCACATCCTCGAAGTCCTCCTATAGTCTCTGGAACACCTCGATCTCTATTGCGAAGGTCGGCCAGTCCACCAGATTTGTAGTCATGACCACTAGGTCTGAACAGTTCATCTCAGCATTTAATGCTGAGAGGATTCTTCTGAGTCATGACCACTAGGTAAACAATATCGAAGTTGTCCTCCTGTTTCTCATACATGAAGTTGCCCAAAGTAAACTTTTCATCTCAGCATTTAATGCTGAGAAGCTTCTCCTGCACGCCCGTAATCCAAAAAATTCAGAACCCATTTGATTCTTAAGACTCCACCCCAAACCACTGACACTGCTATTATCGATCCATGATGCATCAATTTGGCAGGTAGAGATTTGAGGGTATCCAAAGGGGCACTATCTCGACTTTTGTATAATGAGGGTCATCATGATCCTCATTCACTTCATTCTTTTCATTAGTTTTCCTCCAACATTCTACCTCAAGAGAAGCGTGTTGGAGAGTGACAATCAGAGATACGACTCTTCTATTGAAATGTTTGTCGTTCCTCAACTTCCAAATGCTCATGACAAGATTTCAATTACCTCCTTTTGAGTTTGTTCGAAGAATGAGAGATTTGATCATTCTTCTAATATTTATTTATCCATAATATCCAATCTAAATATTATAACTTTTCCGAATAAGACTTATGATCTTAGTACTTTGGATTTGACTATAATCAAAACCAAAACGAAATCCAAACTTGGTCCAAAAATATCTGAAATTAGTATAATATATTAATGTTTTTATATGTCAAGGTAATTTAAATACTTTATTGTATTCAAAAGATTTTTTTAGTTTTTTTTAGTTTTTATTTTGAATATCCTTTAGTTAGGTTAGATAGGTAAATTAATTTTAAATTAAATTTTCGAATAATTTAAATATTTTGATTTTTTGTCAATTTGAGGTTTCATAAATATTTTTTGGGATGATTTCAGATTTTGGTTACAACGGAATCCGATCCGATAATTAGTAAAACCAGAATGGGACTAAAGAGCATAGTATCAAAAAATTAAAAATCAGAATCAATCAAAACAAAATCGACAGATCGTCGAACGTCCATGCATATTAAGAGACCAACATTTATATTCGTCATTTTACAATCGATAAAGATTATAGTGTACAAAATGTTTAAAACTAAACAAATATTAATAGAAAAAGTTCATCCCGCGCATGGGCGTGGATATCATCTAGTATAATTACTAAAGGGTAAAAACAAACAGGAAATTTAGTAAAAACTAAAGCAAATGTGACACTTAAAAGCGATCTAAAGAGTGTTGAATTGTGATGATAAAGTGAGACCAAAACCATGGCTTATTGGCTACCTTTTTAAAAACCAAAGAATCTCTTACCCACCAACTCCGGATTTAAGGATCATGCTAAATGGCATAATCAAATCTTGCAATGTTGAAATGATAAAAAGTTTGACGTCATGATAATAGTTATATCACTATCACGTTTTGG